CTTCCTCCCTCAACGTGTTCGCCAAGCACGGGCTGCCCGCCGAGGACGGGCGGCGGAGCGGGAACAGCGACGGCAACAACAACAACGGGAACAACGGGAACAACGACGGGCTGTGCCCCCCGACGCTGCCCTCCAACCCCTCCGTGGGGGACGTGAGGCGCCGCTCCACCCTCTCCAGCTCCTCCGACGAGAGCTGCTGCTTCCCGGCCTCCTGGGACAACCGGGAGACTCCCGGGAATCCCGGCTCCGACACCGACTGGGCGCCCGGGGAGGACGAGCTGCTGGAGATGGAGGAGACCCCCCTCGCCCCGGGGGTCTCCACGCCCCCGCGGCGGCCCTGGGCCAAGCCCCGGCTGGACACGCAGCCCCACAAGGCGCCGTCCCGGATCCCCACCCCGAGGGGTTACGGGGTCGGGACCCCCCGGCCCCACAACGGCAGCCCCAAGGCCTGGGGGGCCCTGCAGAGCGTCTTCTCCTCCCTGCTGGAGCCCCCCTGGGCCCCGCGGGAGCGCGAGGGGCTGGAGGAGGACACGTGGCCGTGAGAGGTGGCCACGGCACCCCTGGGGACATCCCGGAGCGGCCACTGGAGGTGGCAGCCGTGTGGAGACGTGATGGACGTGGCCCGGGGGCGGGCAGGACGCCTTCACCCGGTGACTGTTGGCAGGGGGGTGGGCCCTGCGAGGAGCCCCCAGCCCCAGGCAGGCCCAGAGGGCCCCGGGTGTGCCCCCAGCCCCCGGGGAGCAGCTCCGTGGGGGTGGTGGTGTGGTCATGGTGGAGGTGGCCAGAGCAGAACTGGCACCTGGGAATGGGGCTGGAGAGCCCCTGGCTCTGCTCAGCTGGGACTCTTCATCTCTTCTCATTCTTCTCATCTTGTTTTCTCCTCCTCTTCGTGCTATTCTTGTCATCCTCCTCCTCATCATCTCATGTTCTCTCATATTTCTACTCTTCTTTTGGTCACCTTCTCCCTACTCTTGTCTTCTCCTCCGTGGCCTTTGTGTCCTTCTCATCATCACCTTCTCTTCTCGACCTTGTCCTCCTCTTGTCTCCTTCTCTTCTTGGCCTTCTTGTCCCCTTGTCATCATCACCTCCTTGGTCGCTTTTTTGTTATTTTCATCTTCTTGGTCATCTCCTGCCTCTCTTCTCTCCCTCCTCTTCCCTCCACCCCTGAGATGACTTGGGGACGTGCAGCTTGTCACCACAACCCGGATTTGAGGTCAGGAGGGGGGTCACTGTGTCCCCTCCGGCCCCAGCACTGCTGGGATGATGTCCCCAGGGTGGGACAGGGCTGTGCCCCCCGTGGCCCCCACCCCTCGGGCC